GCCTGGCTAAGTGGTGCTTCACGAACGGCGGAAAACAATCATCAATTTGTTAATGAACGTGTTAATCCAGAGAGCATTTCAAATAATAACAGTAGCAGTGTCAGCACATGGGTCGGCATATCATAGGCACCAAAAGCAAGCGCACCTCTTTATAAGTTAGCTCAGCAACAGTATATTTCAAAATTATGCATCCTAAAATTATTACATTAGGAATGCTAAGAAAATTTTTGGAAACATTCTTGCTTGAAATGGTGCTAAGCATTAAAGCTGCTTTTTCTACTACTCCTATATTTGACTGGCTCACAGTAATTTACTAAGTGAGAAGTAACATCAGAATATCGAGCTTAGAGACTTAAAGATTTGTTTCTAAAAATGCATTTTTTAGGCTTTCGTTTTATGCTCCGGTTTTAAAGACTTACACTTCAGATCAAAATATTCAAAAATATGTCCCGCATAACATTTGAACGCTGCGCAAATACTAGTTAAGCTCGTTGGTGCGGTTCTGTGGGACTTGGATGGTGTGTTGATTTTACACACACTTAAGTCAGCACTGAGTATTATATCTCTACCAACCATTTAGGTGCAATTGGTGGTTCTCCTGCTACTGTACAAATCAACAAATCTGTATTGACTGGTGCTTGAAGAGCACTGTCTCATGTTCAGCTCTGTTATTAACCAGACTGTATTACGAAGGTAGAGCATTAAATGGCGTCTCCTCACCCCACAATAACGGCATTTGCTTGTCTTCCTGCGATTGCCCTAAACCCCAAATGTGTATCCTGATCGCTGAGGCAGTTTCTCGTTGTGGTTTCAGTAGTTGCCCTACTAGAATGGGAATTGAATATTGGCGGTGCGGATGTAAAATAGGTTAGTTGCTGGTACAAAACGTCATGGAATGAAGGTCATGTGGGTTAGTTCAGAAGTCTGTTTCAGAGATCCTCGTAAGTATCAACTGTAATTAGCACCGCGCTCTGCTTTAACAACTCCTTCTTGCATAGCGTGAGGTGAAATTGGTTGTCTGCCAAGTTGAGGATTGAGCGCTCTTCCCGTAGTCTGCGTGATTGTCAACCTTGATTAAAACGTTGCCTTTGCATTTGCTGAGACGCAGTACGAGTAGTGTGGGTATGCGCCAATTGAAATGTCAGCGAAGATTGTGCAAGAGCGTGTTATCTGTATAGAAACGAAGTGTTATTGACTTTGGGAAAGGGGGCGAGGTGATGAGGTGACAGCAGTAGTGGCAGCAGCAGCAGCGACAGCAGGAGCAGAGCCAGCCGAGTTAGGAGGTGTGGAGGAGGAGAGTGGAATGAGAGGCGTCTTGGGTTGGCTGTGGATTGCGTGAGAACGGAGGTGGAGGTGGTGGTGGTGTGCAGCAGCGGGTTGGTGGAGAGGTGGAAGAGACGGTGAAAGGTGAGCACCGCAAGTACATGTTGAAGGAGGCGATGAGAGTGATGGGTTGAGAGGTGAGTGTGGCGAAGGGTGACATGGAGGGCATTGCAGAGCAGTGTAGATCTGGTCTCGTGGTGAGTGAAGTGGTACGTGGATGACAATGCGTTCACCCATTTTGCATAGTGGCGATATGTTTCTCTTTTGTAGGATCTAACGCATGCTCAGTCTCAGTTTATATTAGCTGTGGATGTAACTCCTCGTTTGGCACACAGGTTAGTTGGGTTTGATACCGCCACAACGCGTGGTGTTTTTCAGTGTTCTAAGGTGAAGACGGGACAGGGTAAGAGGACTTGATGGTGGGGAGTGCGTTGTGGTTGTCGACCGCCCTTAGACATTTTGATTATCTCCAGCATGATGTGTGCTTATGTCTGAATAAAGGCGAAAATAATGCCAACCAACTGTTGACTCGTTGCTCATCAATCAAATTGACAGACGCCTAGACGTAGGTGTAAGCGAACGCGTTTGCGATGTCAGAATGCGGTTGTGCACACAATGTCAGCATCGAAGACGACGTTTCCTCGAGCCCTTATCCTTTTATTACACTGTTGGGTGGTCACCAAAGTTGACACCATTTTCTACGATGAACATTAAAATGTTGACCGAATTAGGTCTTAATGGGGGAAATTGGACTACATCTATCCAACCCTTGCTGGAGTCGCATTGGTGGTAAATCGGAAATGATGTAGCTTGCATGGGAGTTGGCGACACAACGGTCGCAGAATAATAACAGCTTAACGTTGTTTAGTCGCGGGATGACTTTTGTGGAAGATAGCAATCAGTGTTGGGTGGACGAGCGTAGGTGGTGACCCTCATCGTTAAGGGCGTCACGCAGTTGGGAGTTCTCGAAATCCTCACTTCCGTACACGTTGGAAGCGTCAAGATAGGCGCTGATCTGATTCAACTGTTCTCGATGCTGTGGTCGTCCTAGCAGGATAGACGTGAAACCGGAGCCACAGTTGGCAGAACTGCGGGCAAATCCGATGCATCGTTGGTGGATGCGTAGATCTCCAGGTGGTGTGAGAATGGGAAAGCAGGGTGGATCGTTGATACACGTCTCGCTGCAGCCGAGGCCATCGCTAAACGGCAAAAGCAAGCGCACCTCTTTATAAGTTAGCTCAGCAACAGTATATTTCAAAATTATGCATCCTAAAATTATTACATTAGGAATGCTAAGAAAATTTTTGGAAACATTCTTGCTTGAAATGGTGCTAAGCATTAAAGCTGCTTTTTCTACTACTCCTATATTTGACTGGCTCACAGTAATTTACTAAGTGAGAAGTAACATCAGAATATCGAGCTTAGAGACTTAAAGATTTGTTTCTAAAAATGCATTTTTTAGGCTTTCGTTTTATGCTCCGGTTTTAAAGACTTACACTTCAGATCAAAATATTCAAAAATATGTCCCGCATAACATTTGAACGCTGCGCAAATACTAGTTAAGCTCGTTGGTGCGGTTCTGTGGGACTTGGATGGTGTGTTGATTTTACACACACTTAAGTCAGCACTGAGTATTATATCTCTACCAACCATTTAGGTGCAATTGGTGGTTCTCCTGCTACTGTACAAATCAACAAATCTGTATTGACTGGTGCTTGAAGAGCACTGTCTCATGTTCAGCTCTGTTATTAACCAGACTGTATTACGAAGGTAGAGCATTAAATGGCGTCTCCTCACCCCACAATAACGGCATTTGCTTGTCTTCCTGCGATTGCCCTAAACCCCAAATGTGTATCCTGATCGCTGAGGCAGTTTCTCGTTGTGGTTTCAGTAGTTGCCCTACTAGAATGGGAATTGAATATTGGCGGTGCGGATGTAAAATAGGTTAGTTGCTGGTACAAAACGTCATGGAATGAAGGTCATGTGGGTTAGTTCAGAAGTCTGTTTCAGAGATCCTCGTAAGTATCAACTGTAATTAGCACCGCGCTCTGCTTTAACAACTCCTTCTTGCATAGCGTGAGGTGAAATTGGTTGTCTGCCAAGTTGAGGATTGAGCGCTCTTCCCGTAGTCTGCGTGATTGTCAACCTTGATTAAAACGTTGCCTTTGCATTTGCTGAGACGCAGTACGAGTAGTGTGGGTATGCGCCAATTGAAATGTCAGCGAAGATTGTGCAAGAGCGTGTTATCTGTATAGAAACGAAGTGTTATTGACTTTGGGAAAGGGGGCGAGGTGATGAGGTGACAGCAGTAGTGGCAGCAGCAGCAGCGACAGCAGGAGCAGAGCCAGCCGAGTTAGGAGGTGTGGAGGAGGAGAGTGGAATGAGAGGCGTCTTGGGTTGGCTGTGGATTGCGTGAGAACGGAGGTGGAGGTGGTGGTGGTGTGCAGCAGCGGGTTGGTGGAGAGGTGGAAGAGACGGTGAAAGGTGAGCACCGCAAGTACATGTTGAAGGAGGCGATGAGAGTGATGGGTTGAGAGGTGAGTGTGGCGAAGGGTGACATGGAGGGCATTGCAGAGCAGTGTAGATCTGGTCTCGTGGTGAGTGAAGTGGTACGTGGATGACAATGCGTTCACCCATTTTGCATAGTGGCGATATGTTTCTCTTTTGTAGGATCTAACGCATGCTCAGTCTCAGTTTATATTAGCTGTGGATGTAACTCCTCGTTTGGCACACAGGTTAGTTGGGTTTGATACCGCCACAACGCGTGGTGTTTTTCAGTGTTCTAAGGTGAAGACGGGACAGGGTAAGAGGACTTGATGGTGGGGAGTGCGTTGTGGTTGTCGACCGCCCTTAGACATTTTGATTATCTCCAGCATGATGTGTGCTTATGTCTGAATAAAGGCGAAAATAATGCCAACCAACTGTTGACTCGTTGCTCATCAATCAAATTGACAGACGCCTAGACGTAGGTGTAAGCGAACGCGTTTGCGATGTCAGAATGCGGTTGTGCACACAATGTCAGCATCGAAGACGACGTTTCCTCGAGCCCTTATCCTTTTATTACACTGTTGGGTGGTCACCAAAGTTGACACCATTTTCTACGATGAACATTAAAATGTTGACCGAATTAGGTCTTAATGGGGGAAATTGGACTACATCTATCCAACCCTTGCTGGAGTCGCATTGGTGGTAAATCGGAAATGATGTAGCTTGCATGGGAGTTGGCGACACAACGGTCGCAGAATAATAACAGCTTAACGTTGTTTAGTCGCGGGATGACTTTTGTGGAAGATAGCAATCAGTGTTGGGTGGACGAGCGTAGGTGGTGACCCTCATCGTTAAGGGCGTCACGCAGTTGGGAGTTCTCGAAATCCTCACTTCCGTACACGTTGGAAGCGTCAAGATAGGCGCTGATCTGATTCAACTGTTCTCGATGCTGTGGTCGTCCTAGCAGGATAGACGTGAAACCGGAGCCACAGTTGGCAGAACTGCGGGCAAATCCGATGCATCGTTGGTGGATGCGTAGATCTCCAGGTGGTGTGAGAATGGGAAAGCAGGGTGGATCGTTGATACACGTCTCGCTGCAGCCGAGGCCATCGCTAAACGG